GGAGCATGTAACGAGGCTGTGTGCTGGTGTACTTCTCTGCCGATGTGCTCTGTAGCAGCAGAGAGACACAGTGCGGCCCTCACTGGGTCCTTCTGACCTCCCCCTTGTTATGGAAGATAAATGCTTCTCCCACGAAAGGCCCGCAGGGTGTGTGTTTGCACTATGGGCGGTCTGGTCCTGCTGTGAACAGAGACATTTCTTCATGTTTTCAGTGTCCTCAGCTCTAGCTCTGAGGATAAAGAGGGTTGTTCAGTGCGATTGGGACAGCTTTGCTTGGGCTCAAATATGCTATGTGTCCTGTGACAGAAAGCTTGCATGTAACTTTTTGCTTCAAAATGACATAAGAAAGCATAGTAACAACTCGTGCTTCCAAGCCTTCATTTGTGACTGTTGCACTGCTGAGAGTTTAGCAAGGTCTCCTAATGAAGATTTCCCCTGTGCAGAAGCACACAAGCCTCTCATGCACAGCCTATCTATAATCCTTTCTCAAGACCAAAATGCTATCAATACTGTCGCTAAATACCCTGGGCTGCCCAGTCCATGGGATCTGCTAGGCTCTGTGCTGAGTGCCTGGGGAGCTGAGAACTACCACTGTCCTGCAGCAGGCGCTGTACTTGATGTGGCCTCAAGGGAGGTGCAGCACAGGCCTGCAGCCCACATTGTGCCTGCATCCCCAAAATGGCCCCCATAGCCAGCAGTAAATGGCAGCCATGTCAAAAACCACCCTGCCCTGCGATCTAGGTGAAGCATGTGCATTTAAGGGGGGAGTGTGCATGGGAAAGTATAACTGAGATTGAGGTACCTATGTACCTATGCAGCATATGCTGAATTTTGTTCTGACTTGCTGAGAATCAGCAGGCCATACCTGACAGCTTGTTGTTTATTTTTCTCTTTGGGCCTGGTCTGCATGTACTTCTGGGCCAGTAAAACACTGTGAGTGCAGCAAGCGTTTACTTTCTCTAATGTTACAGTTTCATCTGGTCTAATAAAGCCCAGCTTTTATTTATGTGCATCTCTGTGCTTGAAAAAGGCAGGAATAACAGCCCAGCTGGGTAGGGAGAAAAAAAAATAATAGAATTTCCTAGTGCCTACCCGAGGAGTTAAAGCAATGCGGTATGTATGAAGGGGTTAAAATACTACACAGGTACAGATCCTGTGGCAATTACAAATGTTATTGAAATAAAAACCAGAAACAGGAAGCCAAAAAACAGGTCCCTAAGGCAGGCATCTGTCTTAAATGATATCATTTGTCAAGTTTCCAGCATCTTGTGGTTGTGAACACAAAAAGAAGTTCTGTGTAATAGTAAGGACATTACATACTCATTAGCTGGAATGTTCCTGAAGTACATAATACAGGATTTTCATTTAATAAGAAGCAGCTACTTGCCACTGCGTTGTACATAAAATAAATTCTAGGCATGCTAATTGCCATTCAAGGATGTTCTACCTAATTTTTGACAGGTTTGGCTTTTTTTTCCTCTCTCCAGACTACACTGTAAAAATTGTAAGTAGAATGTGCTGTTATGGTTCAAAAATCTTTTAAAGAATATTTTCTGGTTTCTGAAATCCTGACTCCTGCAATGATGAATATTAAAGACTTTAATGAATGTACTAGAGGAAAAAAGAAAAGTAGCACTGTAGGCACAGCTATTTATTTGGAGATAGTAGCAAAAAAGCAAAATACATACAGTCATGTACATATGTATATATAAAGATATGTGCATATATACATATACAGAAATGTATCTCAACACAGTAACTCTTCAAGTCATCTCCCCCATCTCCAAGAGCAAACCTAACTGTAATTGGTATACTTCTTCTATCTGAACACTATTAGTGCATTAGAGTTAACTAATATATAAGCTTCCCCCTCACTGCCCTGCCAATGACCTTAAGCTTCACATGGTAGGAAGGCCACTTGCTGTAGAATAGAAAAGTAATTTATCCACCATGATTGTTCAGCCCTGGCCCCTCTGTAAAACAGCGACTGACAATTGTGCTGTATTATGGATGGTGCGTTTGTGGCATGTACAATAGTGTGCAGAGCATCAAACTCACTCCCCTGAACACTGCAGGCAGGCTTTGAAAAGTGAGCCTAGAAAGACGAGGCTACTTGCTGAGCTATGGGCCTCCATTTTCAAATGCCTTTTTTTCCCCAAAAACTATCCTTCTTCTTCTTTTTTTTTTTTTTCTTTTTTCCCCCCCAAAGATAGAATAATATTGTTTTCTCATCTTAAGTAAGAGTACCAAATGGTTTTCCATTCAGGAAAGTGTACCATTTAAAGAAGAAGAAGAAGAAGAAAAAAGGTTACTTTGCTTTTATTTTACCTGGGGTTTCCCTGCTTCTCTCCACTCTTCAGGATTTAGCATATTCCCTCAAAACATAATAAATTTTGATTCTGTAGCTTAAGGGATCCATCAGTTAAAATGTTAGTCTTTCATCTTTATTACCCTCCCATTAAAATGAAAGAAACCGGGACACACTTCAGTTTAGAAGAAGCAATTTAGTTGGTAATGTCCTTACTACTCAAGTCTTTACAAAGAGAGAAAGTGCATTATTGCTTATATTTCACACATCTATCTGCATAAGAAGCAACTAAAGCTTTCAGACACATACGATGTTAAATTTAATAATATTCTTTGATTAGATTATTTTATTACAACATTTTTCCATTACCAGTCATTTCCCGTACGCATTTACATTCATAAAACCTGCAGGTTTTTCTTTGTTTGTGTGTGTATATGTATTTCTGAAGCAAGGAAAGACTCTCTCCTTTGCTACAGCTGTTAGGTTGGAAAAGAACAGATTAATAACTAGCCACCACGTAGGACTAGGTTTCCCTGAACGCCGCACCAGTAACCCTTTGCTATAATGAGGACACAAAGAGGCTCACATCAGGCTGCTCCTCTTCTTCATAACTCAAAAGCGTCACAGTGGCAATAGCCTCTAGTGCTATTTGTCTTTAGTGCAGTTGTGACACTTCGGCATGATCCATAATTTGGCAGCTATTTACCGTGACATTTCCCTTCAGTGCAGCCATAACATTCAGTGAAGCCATTATTTGGTTCCATTTACCATATAAATTGTATTGTTGTGCATGCATGCTAGCAGCTACATTAGGTACCTGAAAATGAGTAAATCTTGTAAAATAGATACTAACAGCTATTCAGCAGTGGAATTTCTTTACTCCTCAGACAGAAGTAGGAATACATGTACTATCTGCAAACACTACAGCAAACTTTTCCTTGAGATGCTGTTAATTATTTCTATTTATCTGACATGGGAGAAAATGTCAGATGTCTGCTAATGAAATATATGTATTTTTTTTATGCATTTGTATATCTGCACATGAACAAATATATAACAAACTATTGCTGGGTAGAAATCTAACTAATTCATAAAGGTATTAGGAGATTCCAGCATAGCAATTAAGTGGGAAGCATATCTGCAAAATATGCTGAGGGTTGCAGGCCAGGAGAGAGTGAGTACGTGTGTGTCCATGTGCGCGTGCGTATGCATACATGTGACAGGCGCAGGAAAAAAGCCAGCTCTTCATCTATTTCTTTGTTGTTTTTCCATGGAAGCATATGTGTGTAGGAAAGGGAAATTCTGTTCTTAGCTTCAGCAAACAATGCCAGATTCCTCTGTAGCAAATTCATTTAGAAAGGTAAAATTAGGATGTAGTGCTAGCAAGCATATCTCAATGAACTGCTATTATTAATAGTATTATTATTTAAATCCCTGCTCTCTACATATAGTATACATAGTACTTCCTAGGCAAATGTATTATTATTTTTAATCATTTAAGTACCCACTGTGCACACAGCTTTTAATACACCTTTTTTTTTTGCAAGCATATTAAGTGTATTGTTATTAATCCCTTGCTGTGACTCTACAGTATTTCTTTTCCTTGTATGTTCAATGTCCTATCATCATTTAAACCTCTCAGTGTGTGCATGCCATACACATTTTCCTATCCATCTAATATTTAAACATTATTTAAATCCATCATAGCTTACTTATTCAAAGTCAGCCCTGCTCCTGTAACTGTGTCTGTAGAATATACTTTCAAATAAGGAGGAAAAGTTGGCTTTCCAAAACCCCCTACATTCCTAAAATTATTATGCATCTCAATAGAAAAGCCTTATCTATGTGTTTCAGAAACAATTTCACCCTCTTCCCACTGATAATGCTCTCTTCCAGCAATCTGTAAGTTCTTCCTTTAAACAAAAATTCAAGCTTCATTCTGGATTCGTTCAAGGAAGAGCCATCTCATGTTTAACTTGTGTTGCTTTTTAGCTTTGCTTAGGCTTTTGATGAAAAGGACAAGCCCACCCAGTGGCCATAGCCCAACCCAAACACTGAGGCTACAAAATCAGTACCCCAGACATACCGGTTCTGCATGTAACAAATTTAAACTTTTTAATTACCCTGTAATCAGTATTAAAGTGCTGAATAATAAGCCTGAAGCCAAAATTAAAGGCAACAAAATGTCATGTTTGAATACATGCATATATGTGGACCTTCCAAAGGTTCCCTTATTTTGCTTAATGAAGAAGCCCAGGGCAGCTGCATTGCTCAGTTACATATGAAGGATATATATTAAAAATAAAGTAGAATGCTGTATGTCCAAATACAACTTTTATAAGAACAGCTACAGCCCTGCAAACAGCTAAACCTATCGGAGTAACAATGATCAGCGCCTCTGAATCAGGATACTTGGGTGGATGTTGGCATTTGACAGGAAGAGCTTACTTTGTTACCCATGTAACTCTTCGGTGCATAACACAGATCTAAATAATTGTAGTTTTGCTTTGCTTTACTGTGTTGGGTTTTTTTGTTTGTTTGTTTTTTAAATCTGTATTTATTGACCAAGAGTACTGCATCTTTGAACAAGAGAAGAAATTACGAGCCTGGAAATAAAATAGAACTTCGTATGCTCAAAGTATGCCTTTTACATATTTGAGTGTTCACATCTTTCTAGTACTCAGTTGGAAGGCCAAAAATATCCTTTCGTTATGCAAAATATCTAAACGCCACTTTGTTTGTTATGCTATAGAGGAAAGAGGACAATGATTTCTAACAGGAGATCTCAGTCATAACAAAAATGGTTGGGTTTAAAAAAAAAACAAACAAAAAAGAAATACTCAAATCATTTTAACCTTCCCAAAAATCCTCCAAGAGGGCCTATTCAGACATGAAAAAGGAACAGTGCTTTGTTGAACACTGTGCTTTAGGATGCTAATGGCATATGCACAAAAATGCACAGATAAGAATGCAATAAATCAAATTTTAAAATAATTTTCTCTACTGCCTGAGTAAAATTCAAGCTTTTCCAGCACTGCCTGAAAAATCTGTCATGTAAAGTCAGTCCTGAATTAAATTTACTCTGGCTTTTTTCCCCCAACCCCTAAACATTATCAGTCTATCATTAAGCTTATTATTATGCGTATGATCTTATGAAATTTCCATCTCTCCAACTGTATATAAATGTATATATTATTTCAAAAGATGTTGCAGAAATGACGTTTAAGATCTTAAACATTTGCCGTGTGTGTGTTGGGGGGGTTGAAATCTAGAGCAAGCATAGTTTAAAGTATTTTATTATTCTGAAAAATATTATGCTTCTAGATGGAATTCCCCCTCTATGTACCATTAATGATTTCTATTAAGTGATGAAGTATTTTCAAAACTTTACCAAACCTTTTATCTGCACCCACTAGATCATCTATTCCTGAGCAATGCTATTTGTGGCAGGTAACGTGACTGCAGATTTAAAATGGTCTCGTTGTCTCTACAAGGGCTTCTGCAGAAGCAATATTCAGTAACAGGAGAAGTAGCAGCCTGATTATGGGAAGTCACAGCAAGAATCATCGGTCAAATAACTCTGCAATGTAGAAATCATCTTCAAAGGAGCTACTCACCAAGAACCGTATCAATATAAAGAAATGCACAAACACTTAAACAGCTTTTTTTATTTTATTAAATCTTAAAAAAAAATATACAGGATCTGATCATATGTGAACACGGCTCAAAATTCCCCTCCAATAATCCTGTAATGCTGATTAAAGGAGATACAGGGCAGTAAGCACTAACAGTAGCAGACAAAAAGGCAAGAAAATAATGTCAGTTTGTAAAGATTTAGAAAGAAAAACCCACATTTGTTTAGGGTTATGGATAGCAATTAAAAAACAGTCACGTTAGTTTTCATACTGTTACTGTCATGTTAGAATTTAAAATTTCCCTGAGTAAACAGTCAAGGAACATTACTATGATCCACGATGCAAAATTATAATTATTGCGTTTAGTGGAAAAAAAAAAAAAAAATCAAGACTATAGTTTTTTTGTTGTTTTTTTTTTTTCTCCCTAAAAGTTCAGGAGATTAATAAAACAACCCCGAGATGCAATGCTTTTTACTTAGTCTTGTTCTATCAATTTTATTTTTAAATCAGGGAGTCAAAATTGCTGAAAGAAAAAAAAAAATCTGAGTTGAACTATATATAAAGTTTTATCAAACTAGTCTACAGACCGAATCTGCCTCTGCATCAAGACTTACTCTGTCAAGAACAATGTTCCTGTCTCACGCTAGCCTAAGCGACAGCATGAAACACAGGCCCATTAAGTCCATGCTTCAGCCATGGATTAAAGCACTTTCAAGAAAAGAAGGAAAAAAAGAATCAACTTTTTTTTAATTAACACCTTAATGCTGTTTTTAAATTTAATATCCATTACTAAGTTAAAAAGAAAAAGAATTTGTTTCTAGTAATTCTGAAGCATAAAGTGCCCATTTTCTCTCTTCTGATTTATATCATTGTTCTGTTTTTACAGCTTACTGTTGACAGAGTGAGGTAATTCAACTACAATTTTTCCAATGTTTTTTCCCATGTACATGTAATCTACAGCACGAAATACAGACTCCAAGCCAATGAACTTGCCCTCTGGAGACATGTCTCCAAGGTCCACCTCACAAACCAGTTCTCCTTTTTCATACATCTTAAGCAAGTGCTGCAGAGCCATTTTGTACTCAGAAAAGTAATGGTTCAAGAAGAAACCCTGGACGCTGGCAGACTTCTTCAACAGTTTTGCTGGCAAGAACTCTGCTTTAATAGGCTGGATGCCAGTAGGGCTTTGGTAGCCAGCGATAAACCCAATAACTATCAGGCGCCCCTTGGTAGCCAAGGAGTTAACGGCCAAGTCAAACATCTTCCCACCAACAGACTCGTACACTACATCCACACCTTCTGGGTAGTCCTTCCTAAGAACAGATTCAACGTTTTCGGTTTTATAGTTGATGACACGGTCGCAGCCAATGGATTTCAGAAAGCCACTCTTTTCATCACTGGAGCAGGTTCCAATGACATGGCACTTGGCCTTCTTTGCGAGCTGCACAGCAAACTGGCCCGTCCCTCCAGCCGCTGCTGTCACCAGGACCTTCTTGCCTTCAGACAGCCCTCCCAAATTCTCCAGGCTGATGTATGCGGTAGCGCCACTTACCATCAAAGTCAGAAACTCGGGTTTCACAGAGGGCAGAGGAACTGCTTCTTTGGCAGGCACAACTGTGTATTCGGCAAAGGAGCCCGCCTTAACGTAGGCCACGGCTTGGCCCACTGAGTAATGGGCACTGGCACTGAGTCCTAACGCTACCACGTCACCAACACCTTCAAAACCTACATCAAACGGGGGCTTAACTGACGTGTCATATCGACCAGCTGAGTAGTTTATGTCAGATGCATTAATGCCGACAAATCTAGAAGAAAACAGAAATGTATTAACATGATTTATTCCTTATCAAGTCGTATGAGAAACCTTCAATTTTAATTTGTGGAATGCGTTCAGGACTTTTTTTCTGACTATTGGTATATCCGAATAATGAACGCATTACAGAGACTACTTCAGTTCGACTTCTGTACTTTACAGTCTGTAGCTCTAGGATTAAAGAAAAATCTGCTAAAGGAAAAAAGAAAACCTTTACGTTTTCCTCAATCTCGTCTGGCCGAAACAAAAACGACTCTGTACAAAACGAATGGTTAAAACCTTAATTGGTCACTTTATACAGGATGTGAAAACACTGAAGAATAAAATGTGCAAAGCGGTAAATACGTTGATTCTGGCAACAAATTTACATTTTTTAATATAATAATACTGTTAATGACTAACGATCATATTAACTATCGAAGTCGTTTGCAAGGTCACGTCACTGTAGGCAAGTACTTTTTAATTGATGGAGTCACTACAGCAAATTTGCCTTTTGATGCAGCTGATGTCAACGACGTATTTCTCCTGATACAAATGACTCGCCACACAGCAAAACCACCTTGCGCAGGAGGACTGCAACTGTGAGGCCGGCGAGTGCCGCTGACCCCTAACAGGTGAAAATGGTGCCGACCTTTGTATTTTTTACAAAGAACGGACAGCCTCACAACTCCGCTAAGCACCCGGAGATGCCGCCTGAAAGATACGATCTAGCTTAACCGCAGAGACTGCTTCAGCAGCGCCGCTTTTTACAAAAAGCACAGCGTCTTCGTAAAGGGAGAGGGAGTAGGGAGGATTCTACCGAGCAGAAAACGTCAAAAAGAAACACGCGCAATGCGAAGGGCCTGGGCTGCTGCTACACGTGGACGTGACAGCCTGAGAGATGCGCTCGGCACGGCGCAGAGGCTGCAGCAGTACGGAAGCCCCGCGCTTCCCGCTGCCGTAGTTCGCCACGGGCTCCAATTAAACGCGCGCGCTGCAGGCGGCGGAGCGCGCCGCGTGCTCTGCTTCCCCTCGCTCCCCACAGCACGGGGACCTCCGCTTCCGTGGCACGGCGGGAGCCCCGCGAGGCTGGGCGCCGCCATCGGCTCCTGCTCCTCGCTCGGCCCGCGCCGCTCCGGGGCAGGTAAACCGCCGGCGGAGGCCGAAACCTCCCCGCGCGGCTCCGGAGCGGGAAGAGAGGCCGCCCGCCCGACGGGCTCCCCGTGAAGCCGTCCCCGCGCTGCCCTCGGCGCGGCCCGCCCCCCGCTTTGCTCAACTCCCCTTTGTCGGCTGCAGCCCGGAGCAGCGCGGTGCCGGTCGCTCCGGCGCTCCGCTTCCCGCGCGCGGCGGCTGGATTAAAGCGCGTTGCCTCCTTCGTCACCGCGGCCGGCACGGGGGAGGCGGCGGGATGCGCCCACAGTTTCTTATTTTGCATTTAAAAGTAGGAACGAACAGCACGCACAAGCTGAAGATCGGTTTGCTAACTTCTAAAAAGCAGAGCACAGAAGTTACCATAACTGCGAGCACTGCTGGGCTGGAGGACTCCCTTCGAATCGTCCACATTGTCCCGTTTTAATCTCTCACTGAAATGTAGTTTTTAATTTAGGAGTTTCTAAATTACTTCAGCATTGCAAGATGTAAACCTGAGGAGGCAGAAAAAAAAAAGCAAAAAAAGAAGCGGGAGATGGGCTTTTCCCAACGTAATTCTGCACATTGAGTTACGCATCTTATTTCTGCTCAGCAGTGCTGAACCCCTTCTCTTTAGTTAGAAAACACAGGGCACTGTGATGGGGAATGCTGCTTCTATATCACAACAAAGCACAAGACACCAAAAGCAGCCCCACTGCACGCACTGCAGACAAAACAAAGCCATCCAGGGCAGTGCCACGCAAGGAAAACATTATTTAGACCAACCACTCGGCAGCAGCAGTCCTCCCCTTTCCCCACTGTGATCCACTGGTCCCCAGGTTCAAAAACTTTCTCAGCCCCTCTTGCTCCTTCTCTTCCATAAACTTTTCTCATGTCCACCATCCCAACTGTGAGAGACTACAGCTATTTTGGAACTGAAACATGCCACTTCCTCAAGCAAATCTCAAAAAGACCACGTAACTGTAGGCAGCACCACGTCCTCACACCCTTTGGGCCCCTATCTGGCAGCAAAGGGAACCTTACCCCTCACTGTACCCTGGAAATATGAACAGATGTACAAAGCGGAGGTGGTTTCCATAGGGAATTTTTTATTCTCCTGAACAGAATAGAAATAAATGTATTGCTTTAAGTCAGTTTACATTAGAAAGAAATGCTTCAAAACTAGCAAGGATGGATTCTTTCTTCTTTTGGAAAAAAAAAAAAGAAAGAAAAAAAAAGAAAAAAAAAAAACCATAAAACTGCTGGCTTAGTTCTTTTTCCAAAGGAGAAGGAAGGGGGAAGAAGTTCCACTTCAGAGCACCTCATTTTCAAGTGTCTATCCACAAACAGGGACTCAGCATATTTTAGTTTCTCATTCCCCTAAATCCCAAGCCACATTTTATTGTGGTGAACGAGGACTGTTTTGCATAGAAAGCTCAATGCAATTAATACTATTCATGGGCGTGACTGGGACTAAAATGAACAAATCCACAAATGCACTCTTGGAACTCAAGTCCTTTATTGTTTTGTTTCTAATTTTATGTTCCTACCTATTAGAAAATATACCATTGGCTTTGGGGCTTACATAAAGGCAGGGATTCATCCTGCCAGGATGGGAAAAAGCCTCCACAAGTGACAAGGGGAAAGGGAACTCTCTTCCTGCTGCAGCTTGCCTTTACTGCACGCTTCTCAATAATGCAATCCTCTGTCTTCTGTGAGAGTCCCCAGAAAATGATGATGAATACAGAGGGAATGCCACAGAATCCAAAGAATACAATATGTATGGGCTCTCAGTATTGAGTTTCTCGCTCACCTCTCCCTCCCCTCCATCCCTACCCACGAGTGTGTGTATAATATGCTGATGTGTCAGAACCCAGCTCTCGGAGCAGCTCCTGCTTTGCCCCGTGTCTCAGCCCTGTTACCACGAGATGTGCACCCGGGGAGCCTCCCCAGCTGCGGGAGGAGGGGAGAGGAGAGAGAAGGAGTTACTCTGAGGTGTGCAAAAGAGTTATAGATGTGAAACACTCGCGGGACGGGGAGGGCTGGGAAGCAGTGACATGGCCCAGCCCCACTGCGTCCAGCCGCTGCCTGCCTCGAGCCCACAGCAGGAGCCCAGCGCCGGCCTGGATGGAGCAAACCTCAGGCGTGGAGGTTTGGAAGAAATTTGGGTCCCAGAGGAGACGCCAACGCCTGATTAAAGTGCCGCAGAAGCCTCCACGGCAGCTCCTGGAGGAATGCCCTTACCCCTCCCATACTGCTTTATCAGTGCGTTCACGCGGGCGGACACACGCACACACACACACACCACACACACCCCCTCGCCGAGCTTTTGCTGCTGTTCGCAAATCGATGAGACGCGCCCCAACACCCCCGAGCCGCGCTGCACTCCGCCCGGCCGGCAGCACCCGGGCGCGCTGCTCCCCGCGCAGCACTCGGCCGCCCAGCGGCTCCCCGCACCGGAACGTCACTCCGCAGCTCCGCTGTCGAGCAGCGCTCGGGCGGGCGGACAGAGCGCGGGGCTGGCGGCGCGCCCGTCCCAACCGCCCCCGCCGCCGTCCCGGGAGCCGCCGGCAGCGGCACCCCGCCCCGCCGGAGGAGGAGGGAGGGGGAGCGTCACCCGCGCGCACGTGGATGGGCCGAGCGGGCCGCGGCTCCGGCCGCTCGGCAGAACGGCGGCGATAAAATTAAACGAGCCGTCGCCAGATGGCGGCGGGCGCGGCTCGGCCGCGTGTGAGAGCGCAGGCCGCGAGAGGCCGGGCGGGCGGACGCTCACCTGTTCCGGACGAGGAGCTCCCCGTCGCCGGGCAGCGGCACGGGCGCGTCCCGCCGCAGGGTGACCGCCCGGCGGAAGTCGGGGCTGAGCGCCGTCACCACCAGCTTCTTCATGGCGCTGGGGATGGACGAGCCCTGGAAGTCCAGGAAGTGCCGGGAGTACGACATGTCCAGGATGGGCCGCCTGCCGCCCGCCGCCGAGCAGGCGGGGCCCGGGGCCGCCCGCCGCCACCAGCAGCGCGGCGCCCGCCTCCAGATCATGCCCGCCCGCCCGCGGCGCCGCGGCGAGGCCGCCCCTCCCTCCCTTCCTTCCTCCCGCAGCCGGGGCTCGGCTGGCTGCCGGCGTGCCGCGCTCTACCTCAGCTCAGGGCTGCCGGCGGGGTGGCCCGGCTCGGCCCGCCCTGCTCTTTGCAGAGACATTATCGTTCTACTAAAAATAAAGCGAAAGCGGAAAGGAGGCGAGCTGAACGACCAGCGCGGTGCGGCCGGAAGAACGGGGCGAAGTTGCCGCTCCGCTCCGTGTTGTTATTAGCCGCCGCCGAGCAGCCGCTGCCCGGGGCGGAGCTCCGCCCCTTCCGTGCGAAACGTTCACTTCCGCGCAAGGTGCTACGAATCAACCCCGAGCGGGCAGTCCGCGCACCGGGTGCGGGGTTCAAAGGGACCCCGCTCGTGTGACGGCCGCGGGCACGTGCCGCTGTCCGGCTGCGCGGCGCAGAACGGCGCTGCCTGCTCCGCTTGGCTGCCGGGAAAGCCCTCATTTTCTTTGCCTCCTAAAAGTCACCGTGGGGCACGTCTGGGAGAGGGGAGCCGAGCCGCGCGGGGGTCGGGAAGTGTTTCTGTTGGGCCGCCCGTCCCAACTTGGTGCAAGCGTGGGGAGGGAGCGACGGAAAAGGCAGCGTGACAAGCGTTGTACCCCGGTGCCGGAATCCGCTCAGCGCGCTCCGCGCCGCTAGTTCTGCGAACTGAAAGCAAAAGAATAAAACTCCCTTTCGCTCTAAAGGAGAGGCAAGCCGCAGTTCGGAGCTCTTTCCCTCAGGAGCCAGCCGGGCAGCTCGCTTGTCTGCCGTCCTGACGGAAAGGGAACTCCTCCTGCGGGACCTCCCCGGACACGCCGCTCCCAGTACGGCGCTCTGCCGGCGTGTCGTAGCGATCCCCGGCCGTCCCCCCCACCTCCCGCGTGCCGTCCCCTCGGTGCTCGGCCGGAGCGAACCCCAGCCAAGTTGCGGCGGGTCCCGGCGGCGTGCGCCGCACGTGAGCAGCCTTTGTGCGGCGCCGCGCTGAGGTTTCGCTTCTGTAATATTGTTTAGCTCTGGGAAAGGAGGAGGGAAAAAAAGAAAAAAGAAAAAAAAAAAAAGAAAGAAAAAAAAAAGAAAACAAAGCAATTAAAAAGATTGACAGGTATGGGTTTGTGTGAGACCTATTTGTAATTGTCAGGGTGACGTGGGCAGCGGAGGAGGAGTAAGGCTGCGGCAGGAACAGCGGCTCGATGTGTCTGTCTATCAGTTGAGGCTGTCTGCGGGCGCCGGGACCCGAGCGTGTGCTGTATCTCAGTGCAAGGCGCAGGGAGCGGAGCGGGGCGCGTTCTCTCCCAGGAGTTTCGGGGGG